CTCTTTATGAGCAGATGGGGATTTCCTTAAGTGCTGGAAACAGTAAGTCTCTCACCTGCACACAACTTTTTAGAACCCCAGGAATATGCTGGAGCTTTTCAAAGCCCCCAGACATCTCACTCCCCAGTTTGTAGTCAACCAGTATACCATCTCAGACAGCTGTGCCATTTAAACAATCGCCACCACCAGCTGTTTCTGACCAACACCTGGTGATAGGGGCTTCTTCATAGAGTGATCTCTGAGTCAGATTAAATGCAAACACCCCTGTGACTGGGACTATTCCTGGGAACTGCCAAACCAGTCAGAATGACAATCCTCTAGGCAAGGGGCATTGTGGGTAACTCCAGACCTATCTGGCTGCTAGGCTACTGTGGTTCCAAGGCTGCTGATTTCCAAGGCCACCGCAAAGCCAAGTAGAGGAGGATGGACACAGGACATGTTAAAACCCCACAAAGCTTATTCTTTTAACCAAGATGCAGCTTTTTTCCTCAAACTCATGTTATTTGGGTTATTGCAATCCTTTTGTTAATTTCTTGAGTTTCAAAAAGTTGATTTAACAATTTCTGCCAGTGTTCCTACTGATTTTATAGGGAACTGGATTTTCAAAAGTCCTCATTCTGCCATTCTGGAAATGCTTCTCCTCCAGGATTCACTATGAAGTGGGCTAAGTTTACACTGGATTTCTTTTAAATTAATGTAAGCAGCATATTCTGAATTCACTGAGAACACTACACTCCACCACCTTTGATTTGCCACCTAACACAGCCAACTGAGAAAACAGCTTGCTTTCCCAGAATGAACAGCAGACGAACATGCTGGCTTCCAGAGCATGTCATCTACCTTCAGTAAGCAACAGTGTCAGAACAGCAGAGGACCAGCTCAAAGCTCCCCACTCCTCCAGTGCCAACTAAGAGGGCCTGAGGGACAGACTATCTATTAATGACTGTAGGTCAATGTTCTCCACCCCTGCAGACCCACAGCCACTTTTTATTATATTTTAAACATTTCTATTAATTAAAAAATGTATATGTAAATGGATAGGCAATATGACTTGCCTCAGGCATTTTTAAAATCAATATCTAATTGTAATATAAAGAAGAAATAAAAGAAGACAATTTATGGTAACATGTAATTGGGCATGGAAATAAATGGTCCCAACTCCTGAAGGCACGAAAATCAGATGCTTGTGGGGATACACATCACTGCTGTTCATGAGGCCCCACAAATGCAGAGAACTGCAGCAGCTTTGTCCCCACTGGTGACAGTCTCCAAAATGGCAGCCAACTCCTGGTAAAGCTCTGAACAAAGAACACAACCTCCTCGTCTGGCAGGTGCATTTACACAACCTCCTC